GCTACTCTATTGTGCTTCCAAGCCCTTCCCGTGACAGCCCAGTGTGGTCGCGCAGCGGTTGCTAACAGCAACATCTGCACGCTGCCAACGCATCGTGCATGGTTCTCCTCATGAGTCGCGACTTCTTGAACGGTTCGATGGCGAGGCTCCTTTTTTGATGTCGAGCTGCGGCGTAGCCAGCGCGTGGGTGGCATGAAGTTGACGGGCCGCCGGTGGTTTCAGGCGGCGCAGAAATAGACGGACGCATAATCGTGCATGAGGCTGATCAGGCCGGCCTTGTCCCTGTAAAGAGAGGAACCGGGTAGCCGGCCCCTCTCCTACGCAGCACAGAGACACGAAGCAATGCGCAAGTGCAGAGCAAAGGTCGTCGGCCTCACAGCCCAGCAGAGCGGAGACCCGCCCTTGCTCGATGGCCTCGTCGCGAGTTGACGCGTGCGGGCGATCTGCGGTCGACACGGCGGCCTGATATGGACTAGCGCAGTCTTCATGCGGGATGAGCGATGCCGCGGCGCTTTTGCGCGGGCAAGCGCCGTCGATCGAGTCAGGGCAGGCACGCCCTGCGGCGCTCCCGGGCCTGCCATTGGCCGGGCGCGACAGGGGCCCATCTGCTTCCGGAGCTGGGAACACCAGCAGTCAGGTCGTGGTTCCCTCACAACTCAACCCCCGTGGGACGACAACTCCAGCTCACGATGCGCCCTTCCATGGCCGGCCGCCGGACAGGCGTACAGTGTACCACCAAGGCCCACGCCCGGCTCGCGCAGAGCAGTTGCGCGGCCACGCCGGCGATAGATAGCCTCGCCCACGGCTCGTCGTTCGGCAGCGCAGGAAATGAGCGACACTCTCGCCCCCCACTGTTTAGAGCTGAAAAGGCCTGGGCGCCATCTGCAGCCAACGAACGCCCATCGTGACATTATTTGGCGTGTTTGAGCCTATGGCGGCCAATAGCTTCCTCCGTCCGTCCATTGCTTCTTGCTTTCCTCTTAACCAAGGGGAACCGCCCATGGCCTCCCGTCCGCTAGCGGACGCCGCCTGCCCCAAGACGAGATTTGATACCTGCAACCATATCAATTCCTTCACGTCCCCAGCCGCCCGTTTTCCGTCTTTCTTCTCTTTCACACCCCAGCTACACAGTATCTGCTGCTTCTTGGATCTCTTTCTGCTATCGCGTTTCACATTAGACACATTCGACCTATTCGAGAGCACCTGCATTAAGCGCCCTGGCCCCATTCTCCTTTCATACTGAGTCGACACCTCAGGCGTCAATTGGACCAATCTCAAACCTCAGTCTTTGCGGCCGACACCCCGGCATCCCTCGATCATCTTTACACGCCCCCGGCGCCAACCTTCGTCCTCGGGTCGCTCAAGTCAACATTTCGAGTTCATCCTGCATCGCTCTCGTCAGCCTCGCCGCAAACACACCTCGACTTACTGTGCCCCGTTTCATACTTCAATCCAACCCCCCGCTCTTCCTTCCAATCGCAAGGCTGCAAATCCATCTTCCCAGGTTAGTCCGCCGTCATCATCAAACAATCGTGCACGCTAACCGAATCCCAACAGACGATCCAACATGGCCCTCTATTTTTGATATCGGTGCTCACGAATATATGCAAAAAGTCAGGGACGTGCCAGGGATTAAACGCCCTGGGCCTTAGAGCCTCATGCTGCCTTGCTTTAAACCCCAGGCGCGGCCCGATACTCTGGCAATGGCTTCAACTACCCTAGTCACCTTTCTGTTGTACGTCTGACCCTCTGCACCTCTTATACCCATCGTGTGACTCAATTCTCCTCACAGCGACTGCCCCTCTGCTGTTCGAAGTGTAGAGCTACTTGGATCTTGGGACAACTTTTCAAAGCCTTACCATCTGAAGCAAGACCGTCGAAGAGGTCCCGGAATCTGGTCAGGGTGCTATACCTTTGCAGATATTATCTGTGACGGAGACGTTGCAAACATTGGTGGAACGAGAAGCGGTGCACTAAAGATGGGCGGAACGTACTGGTACTATGTACGCACCTTGAACGCCCCGCATGAAATGATTCTAACTTTCTCATAGTACAAAGTTGATGACGACGATGAACGCCACAACTCGTCCGAGCAATCAACAACTCTCTGTCCTTTACTTCCCGGCCAACGCCTGAATGTCTTGGAAGTTCCGACAGAAACGAGGAGTAGGAGCGGCTCGGAAAGTTCTCATGTGTTTACACGCAATCCCAGAGACAAGTACCAAACGCCAGTGCCCCCCAAGCCACTCCCTTCTCCACGGCTTGGAGATCTTTGCATAGAATCTTACGTTCCGATGTACTCATCGCTCCAAGGAGGTCCACGGTCGGCCACGCATCCCCCCAAGGACCAATCTATGTCACATGGATTTGAACGGCATGCTCGGAGCGCATCATCTACGTCGCCGCAGCACTCACGAGGTGCCGTGTTCACCGAATTCAAGGGCTTGAAAGATAGGTTGGTGGCCTCAAAGCGATCACCATCTACCAGCCCGCGACAACCTACAGGTGTGAGGGAGCTTCAAATCGGAGCGCCAACGCTCGTCAGCACCACAGCTGAGGAGGTAAATCTTGTACCATTGTCACGGACATCGGCGTCACTGCGAGTTCCTCGGACATCATCATCTTTACCGCCTCCCGTTACCGCCAACAAGATGAGAGGGTTCTCCCCTCTTGGATCACATCCCGTTTCACCTCCCCAGCAATTCGATTTTGGCTTTTCAGACGCTACTCTTAGTCAAGGAGAGCGGTCATCCAGGCGTTCCCGATCTCGAGCGTCATCAACTATCGCCACAACTGAATTCAAATTGGGCCACAGCCGTGCCAGGGCTAACTCCGCTGACACTAGGCGGACAAGACACTATCTCTCTCCCAACGAGCCCTGGGTCTCGACTCCTAAACCCCGACAGAGCTTCGACAGAGAAATCGGACCAGCACCGGTACTGCAGAGGCCTTCTACTTTGCTTGAACCGCCATCCACCGATGACCGTCCATCGTCGAGCCACGGGGGTGACCGAAGTCCTTCGTTGCGGAGATCGCCTCTCGATAAGGACAAGGACCTCCCACCTCTGCCTCGATACTTGGTTCCCGCTCCATTATTCGCATGTAACAGTACTGCTCCAAGCCCAATCATCACACAGGGCGAAGAGGCACAAGCGCCGGTGCCAGAGCCGGAGAAAGAGAAAGCAGTTGAAATTAAAGAAGCCGAGATCCGTCTAGTAATAGAAAGGCGGGGCCACTTTTCCACCTGGAGCTCCGAGTCTTCCACGTCTAGTTGCCCAACCACAGACGACGACGCCATCCACTCTCCTACCTTCAGCTCCTTGACCAGCGACTCCAGCGACATGGGTGGCTCACCACAACGCATGTTGGATCCCTTCACGCACGGTGATCAAACCTACACACTCACCGACAAGGACCTCGAAGATAGCGATTTCCCCTCCACGCTCTCTTCCTCGCCGCCACAACTCCAGCTCAACCCACTACACATCTCTACGTTTGGCCCGAGTCTGCTGCAGTTGGATGTTCATTTGGAGGGCTCGGCGCCCCGCAGACAGGCTGCGTGCTTTGGTCTCGGATTCCAGGGGTACAGTCTCCCGGAGGATGAGACAGAGTCGCAGGCTACTATTACCAAGGTTGTTACTCCATCAGAGCCAGCCATTACGAATGGAAGGGAGTCGTCTGTCAGTCATCTACAGAAGCTGATGAATGAGTTTGGGTATTTGGGGGATGCTGTGCTTTGAGTACACCGCTTCAAATTTCCCGATCGTCACAGTACGCTTAACAACGAACGGCATCTCTGCCATGCCTTACATCGAACTTTACGCCGTTTATCCAATTTGGACACTTTCGATGTATCGATCTTCTACACGACTTACCTTTATCATTTCGTTCTACGACTTCACTTCGCAGTGTTTCTTGATGACATCTCCTTTTCGTCTATTCGAGGTTCTGCTCATCATATACGAATACGCATTTCCGCATTGACTTTTTCTTTTTCCTCAAATACCAGGCCACAAGCAAGCAACGATTTAATTTGATCAAGGCGTTCCGGGGGCTTATCCTGTCGGCTTTCTTTACCATATACCACATACATCTCCTTTCCTGTTCTATTTTGGCGGAATACACAATCATCGGGGAGGGGATTGGAAAGGATTTTCTTTTTTTAACGCATATGCGCTACTGGTACTCGGGCACATGTACATACATGTTGGATTATTGTATGTATATACGATGTGAAGGGATATTGGGGGTTACGAATGGTCTGAGACGTCAACTGTGCATGTATCTATCATGGGTGTATTTCACTTTACTACATACATTTTCACACGATAATTCAAGAATGCAAAAAACACTTTGCCACCGATGTCCATCTGCTGTCAATCAAATCATTGCTGCGTTCAAGGCTTTGTTGGGGATAGATCGAACGAGGATTAGTTTCCTCGAGTATGTACACAGTAGCTGAGTTGGGATAGGAGTTGTGTGAGGCCACTAACAACCTTCTAAATCTTTGTCTACATGTGATGACTCTGTCACTTTTTCATCAACGTTGTGCACAGCGCTGGACGTCGTACCGCTTGTACCGCGGCCTTTGTTAGATGGCCGCTATTCGTCGCTCGTGACCTGCTTTTGCAAGGTAATTTTAATGCATGACATGTGGGAGTCAGTAGTAGAGTACGTATACATTGCGTATTGTCTATGTACAAGGTGGCTCGCAATCATCTGTAGCCGTGTATCTAGCACCACGGCCGGGGTGCACAATCCATACGTGAACGCGACCCTAGAAACAGCCTAGCGTCGCTGCTCGCGGGGCTGCCCCCGCCCCCCTCACGAGAGCCACCGCCTACTATAGCGCCTCTGGCCCCCAAACGCAAATTCTTCGCCTCACCCACCCACACACACCCACCGCCCCACGAGAATTGTCCTCGACGTCGCACGCTGCAAATAAATGTGTATATAACTTTTCTAAATCGAGAATTCTTCCATAATATTTACATTATACGGGGCTAATAGCTCAGTGGTAGAGCGACAGATTGCAGATCTGTAGGTCATCAGTTCGATCCTGGTTTGGCCCTTTATCCGTATGTTTACGACCAACAATCGTCTCTCTTCAGTCCCTTTCTGGGCGAGGTAGGATGACGTTGGGAAGTTTACTTTACTTTTTTGGTTTTTTTTCTTCTCCTTCCTTTCTTTTTTCATGGGACGAGGGGCTAGTCTTTTTTACGGGGGGTTTTTTTTTTTTTTAAAAAAAAAGGGAGCGAAGACTTGCGCTTTTTGGAGGGGGGTTGGGATGGTCGCTGTGCAATGCGCTGTGCTTTGACGGATTGATGGATTATCGCACGTGTATGTATGACTTGATGTGTGTCGATTCCTAGAGTTTATGGAGTTTTAGTTGTAGAACATGCATTGTGTCTTTACGTCCTCTTTTCACTGCCTAAATATAATGCTAGCAAAGTACGTTCGTGCTTTCTGAATTTTAGGCACATACAGAGTATCATAATGAAAAGTTGTGCTGTTACTGTCGTAAGAAATCACAAGGCGACAATCTAGAGAGACATAGACTCGAAGGTTCATGCATGGTCCATTGTCTAACTTGTACTGACGCGTAAGGCCATCTCATCTCAACGACCTTCAATGCATCATCTCTCCACTTCTCAAAGCCATACCTACTCATGACCCAAACCGTGATATGCATCGCTAAGCTGCGGAAGTCAACCGGAAGACAAATCCTAGAGGTATCCAAGCTACCGAAGGGGAATCCCTTCATCCGCCTCTACATCGGCAATGCTCTCCTCGCCGGACCCTCCATCCTCGCCGTCCTCACCAAGGGCAAAGCGCATGAACTTCTCGTTCTTCGCCTCGGCTGTCGAAATATTAATAAACAATGATCATATCGGAGGGGTTAGACACGGATTTGAAAGCGGTCGACTTACTTCCCCACTCGACGACTTGTCCGTCTTGGACCTCGCAGTCCTTGAGCACTGTCTTCTCGTCCCCCTTGGACGGGCCGCCCTCGATCTTGCAATGTCGGCCTAGGATGCAGTCGGTAAGCTGAGCATTCGGTCCCACTTCCACGTTATCCATGAGCAGACACCGGAGTAGTCGCGCGCCCTCGCTAATCTTGCAGTTTGCGCCGATGACGGATTCCTTGATGTTGCACTTCTCCTCTACAACGACGTTGTCGGCCAGAAGCGAGTTCTCGGCTTCGACACGGCACTTCTTGGGTATCATTCGCTTGTGTGTTACCTTTGCTTGATGTGCGAATGGCGATGCAGCGTCCTTGCCTACCTCTTCGACCGACGGGAGTTTGGCGAGACGGAGGGAAATGGTGAGGAGCAGGTGCGCTGTGTCGACTCGTCGGATCAAGGGGGTTGTCGGCGTGGAGGGCTGTACGTATGCTAGTATGGGAGGAACGGTGAGTTTAGGCTTTGCAGCAATGGATTTGGCGGCCTGCTCTGGAAGGTTGGAATTCTGAACTCTTGAAGCGAGCATAGTTGGCGCCGCATCAGCGTGCTCCTGTCCGCCGACCCATGTAGTGCTGAACCGCGACACGTCGATTTCGTCATCTACCACCTGCGATCCAGAGTCGCTATCTGAGTTCTCCGGGCCATGGAATATCTCACGGAGGCCGAGCTTGTCGCCCAGACCGTCCTGCCAGCCAGCCTTTGCCCACCATCCCAGCACTTCCTCACTAACGCTCTCGAATTCCTCATTCTTCTTAATCATCTCGATGACCCAGTACGGAAAGAAGTATATGTGGGCGTCGCGATGGGTGGTGAGCATCTTTATGCGACCATGCTTTCGGAGCAGGGAATGCCGTATCGGAAGGCATTTCTTCGCCTCTGTAATATCATTCAGAGTATCCGTGGGCACTGTGTAGACGAGATTCGATATGTTGGGTCTCAGCGAGTCCGAAGGAGGCGGCACGATTGGTGTTGGAAGGGGTGTTGTGGCAATGAAGTCGGTCTCTTCGCCTTTTACACTGCCTTCTCCTTTGGTCTGGTACCACACACCTAGGCCACCTCTTCGTCCGATCCTCTCGCCACCAACACCCAGTGGTATCTTTCCCGTGTTCGTGATTCCTCCGCTGGCTGCGCCGAGCCCAGCTTCCTCGATCATCCAAGCATCAAGCAGGGCTGTGCCGTCCAGTTCGCAGACAATGTCGCAAGGAAGGACAATGAAGTCGCCTGTTATCGCTGACTGCATCTCTGGGAGCCGGAAAAGGTGGCCAGTCGGGGTCTGGTGCGTCAGGTCCTTTGGCGCAAGCACGGTAGGCCTCGGGGCAGGGAGCGATGTGAGGTGTGGGTTCTGCGACATGGCTGCCTCGATGGCTTTGAGCGATTCGGGGGGGGTCACAATTGTGATATCTATCCATGGCGCCGTCGTTAGCCCGGGAAAAGGTCCAGAAAGCATGGTCCCGTACCTGTGACTCCCATGCGATGGCACCATTCCAGCGGATACCAGACCATGGGCCGGTTTGCAATCGGGAGGAGAGCTTTGGGCGTGTCTTGAGGCGCGGAGGTGAAGGTGCTGAAGGAGGCCCCAGGACCACACAGGATGAGGGCCTGGAAGCCCGGCGTAGGCAGCGTAGCATGCGGCATGGCGCGTGGAGGGGAATGTGTAGTTAATTGCCAGTAGCTCCAGGCGCGTCTGCAGAAGGAGGGGGGGATTGAAGAGTCAATCGCAGCGCCAACAGCCCCGCCAAAAGTTTTGGGCTCAATGACTCGGCGGCCGCTGGACCTCCTCGGCTGCACGTGCTTTGCGTGACAGGGGCAGCTCCCAGCCACTCGCCCATCAACAACACCAGCGATCAGCCGCTCCGCACGCCGCCACCGCTCACTCACGCCCTCACGAACAGACACCACGCTCAGGACATGAATTGAGGCTCGCCGCCAACCATGTCCTTCTCCTACGACCGCTACGACCGCCGCCAGCCCTCGTCCGGCCGCCGCACTACCTTTGGCTACTGGGTCCCCTTAATCCTCACCGTCACCGTCGCAACCGCCGGCTTCGCGGCCTGGGTGTGGAGCGAGCGACGCGACGACGATGATTCTTCCGACGACGACAACCTGAGCTATGGCGAGGACCGCGAAGGGAAGACACCAGGCCCGCGCGACACCAGCAGCCTCTCGCAGGGCGTGGTGCGCGAGGACGAGGGTCTCATGTCGCGCGTGCACGGCGTGCTGCGACGGACGCCGAGCCCGCAGCAGCTGTTCGACACAGTGAGCAAGAAGACGGTAGCAGGCGTCGCCGCCGCGAGCGCGGTGGCGGGCGCGGCGCTGGCCTCGATCCGCGAGGAGGACCGAGACGACTTTGGGGACCACAACCGATGGTCTGAGGAGGCTGCGCTGCGCCGCCAGGTTCACGCGCAGTCTTCGCAGAGCGCTGCCGCCGTGGACACGCAGGCAAAGTCCTTCGCCACCTCGGTGCGGGGCGCGCCACAGCAGACCGGTCGGAGGAAGACAGTTGCCATCGTTGTGTCTGCCGAGTCTCTGATGGACAACCCGCACGAAGACGATGCCACCTACCGCTCAGAGAATGCTGTGAGTCTAACACGCCCACAAAGTCACCCTCCAACTAACACACCCCCAGACTATCCTCTCCTACCTCCCCGACACCGACTTCAACAAGACCAAACTCTTTGTCCTCGTCTACTCGCCCTCCCTACGATCACGGCCAAACTCCCGCACGGGTGCTGCCTCCCTCGGGTCCTCGTACTCGGCCATATCCACCCCAGCGCATACCCCCGGCGACGAGCTGAAGACCCTCGAACCCCACCCCGAAGAAACCATTTACACCCCAGCCCTGTCCGCGCGGAGCTCCGACAACGTACTCTGGAACACCCTTCATGCCCAAGCCCTCAGACTCGTCGAGAACCCCGCCATGGTCATGCCATTCACCACCCCCACAGGCCACGTGCATATGCTCAAGCACCTCGGACCCGATCTTGTGTACATCGTAGACGCACTCAGCGGCAACAATGGCACCAATGTCGAAGAAATCAAGCGATGGGTAGGGCAGACAATTGTTGTTGTTGGCAGCGATGGCACAGGGCTCGGAGGGCTGGTAGACACGGACGACGAAGGCCCGGTTTCAAAATCGAAATCCGAACATGCCGGCCATGGAGAGAGATGGTGGGAGAGTGCGGACATGGTAGGACTTGGGAAGGGCGTAGAAATTGTGGACGCCTCACGACTGGAGGACGATTTTGAGCGGAGAGTAGGAGGTCGCGAGTAAAGATTCTTGTTTGTTTTTGGAACGGAATATTGGGAGACGCGTGCAACGAAACATGAAATACTACCCCTGGTTATGTCTTTAAATTAAGCATTTTTCAAACGAGAGGTACCAGCGGGAAAATGTGTCTGACGTAGCAAAACTTCAGTTAATAATGAACACTATAGGCACGTGTTGGTACTGGTGAGCTCCACCTTTCACTCTGATGATTTCTCTTTCAATCTGCGGCGTTATCCTGCTGCCTATCTTTTCTCCTCTATTTCCATATCTGGTCCGAGTCTGGATGACCTATTTCCACTCCGCTTTGACCAATGGCTCTATCAAACTTTCTTTGTTCAATCTTTCTCCCCATCACCTCAATCCGCATACCGTTCTCGCCAACTACACCATACCACCGCCCAATGGCATCCCGCTACCAGCGCAACCTCTCCGCAAGGTCGGCCGAGGCTCTGCTGATGGACATGCTCAACATCGACCGCACACCCAGAGCATCCAGGTCACCCGTACCGACTGTTGCCACCAGCAATGTGCAGCCACATCATCAACCGCACCGTGTGTTCCCCTCTCTCTACCCACACCACCCCCGATTCCTCACCCATCAGCTGAACACGCCCGCAGTCCCCCCTCCAACACCCCCCCACTCCCCGCTCCCCCCCTCCGCGCAGCCCCTCCCCTACGACTCCTACTTCACCTCCATCTCGACCTTCACACCTCCGCCTCTCCCCCCCGGCACCGACACCCAAACCCAGACCAACGACTCAATCCGCGCATTCATGGCGACCCTATGCCGCAGCCTAAACACCGTCCTCCACCACAGCGTGCTCAAACTGCCGGCCTCCGA